GTAGAACTAATACCAATACTCTACAGTTTATTTCAGGAGATAGAAAAAGAGGCAGTAATTCCAAACTCATTCTATGAGGCCAATAATCACCCTGATCCCAACACCAGGCAAAGACACATCAAAGAAAGAAAACTTCAGACCAATATCTCTAATGAACACAGATGCAAAATTCTCAACAAAATTCTGGTAAGTCAAACACAAAAAACATACCTAAAAGATTGTGCACCATGATCAAGTGGAATTCATCCCAGGGATGCAAGGTTGGTTCAACATACAGAAATCAGTAAATGAAATTAGCACAATAGACTCAAAAATAGGAATCATATGATCCTCTCAATAGATGCAGAAAAAGCATTTGACAAAATACAGCACCACTTTATGTTCAAAGCACTAGAAAAACTAGGGATAACAGGAATATATCTAAACTTCATAAGGCTATATATCTACATTAAGCCTCAGGCCAACATCATTCTAAATGGAGAAAAACTAAAGGTATTCCCTCTAAAAACTGGAACAAGACAGGAATGTCCTCTTTCACCACTTCTATTCAACACAGTTCTTGAAACCCTGGCCAGAGCACTTAGACAGATGAAAGAAATTAAAGGGATATGTATAGGAAAAGAAGAAATTAAATGAGCACTATTTGCTGACAATATGATTCTATACCTAGAAGACCCCAAAAAACTCCACCAGAAAACTTCTAGAACTAGTAAATGAATCTAGCAAAGTAGCAGGATATAAAATTAACACTCATAAATCAAAGGCATTTCGGTATATCAGTAACAAATCCTCTGAGAAGGAAATGAGGAAAACTACCCCATTTACAATAACCTAAAAAAAAGGATACTTGGGAATCAACTTAATGAAACAAGTGAAAGATCTATACAATGAAAAATACAGAACCCTAAAGAAAGAAATCAAAATAGATCTTAGAAGATGGAAAGATCTACCTTGCTCTTGGATAGGCAGGATTAATATTATCAAAATGACCATACTACCAAAAGCACTATACAGATTTAATGCAACTCCAATCAATATCTCAATGTCATTCCTCATAGAAATAGAAAAAGCAATCATGAAATTCATCTGGAAAAATAAGAGACACAGAATAGTTAAAGCAATCCTTAGCAGGAAGAGTGAAGCAGGTGGCATCACTATACCAGACCTTAAACTATACTACGGAGCAACAGTAACAAAACCAGCATGGTATTGGCACCAAAATAGACTGGTAGACCAATGGTACAGAATAGAGGACACAGAGACCAACCCACCAAATGACAATTATCTTATATTAGACAAAGGTGCCAAAAACATGCATGGAGAAAAGATAACATCTTCAACAAATAGTGCTGGGAAAACCGGAAATCCATATGCAACAAAATGAAGTTAAACCCCTATCTCTCACATGCACAAAATTCAACTCAAAGTGGATCAAGGACCTAAGAATTAAACTAGAGACTGCATATAATAGAAGAAAAAGAAGGCCCTAATCTTCATCATGTGATGAAGGCCCAACTTCCTTAATAAAACTCCTATAGTGCAAGAATTAAAACCAAGAATCAATAAATGGGATGTTTCTTCTCAGCAAAAGAAACAACTTGTGAGGTGAACACAGAGTTTACATCCTGGGATCAAATTTTTACCCCTCACACATCAGATAGAGTACTAATCTCTAGGGAATATAAAGAACTCAAAAAGTTAAGCACCAAAAAAAAAAAAATAAATAAATAACCCAATCAACAAATGGGCAAAGGATCGGAACAGACACTTCTCAGAAGAGGATATACAAATCAACAAATATATGAAAAAATGCTCATCATCTCTAGCAATCAGAGAAATGCAAATCAAAACTACTCTAAGATAACATCTCACTCCAGTCAGAATGGCAGCTATTATGAAGACAAACAACAATGAGTGTTGGTGAGGGTGTGGGGAAAAAGGTACACTCATACATTGCTAGTGGGACTGCAAATTGGTGCAGGCAATATGCAAAGCAGTATGGAAATCTGGGAATGGAACCACTATTTGACCCAGCTATCCCTCTCCTTGGTCTATACCCAAAGGACTTAAAAACAGCATACTACAGTGACACAGCCACATCAATGTTTATAGCAGCACAATTCACAATAGCTAAACTGTGGAGCCAACCTAGATGCCCTCCAGTGGATGAACGGATAAAAAAATGTGGCATATATACACAATGGAATTTTACTCAGGAATAAAAGAGAACAAAATCATGGCTTTTGCAGATAAATGGATGGTGCTGGAGAAGATAATGCAAAGTGAAGCTAGCCAATCCCCAAAAAACAAATGCCAAATGTTTTCTCTGATATAAGGAGGCTGACTCATAGTGGGGTAGGGAAGGGGAACATGCAGGAATAGATGAATAGGGAAGGGAAGAGGGGATAGGGAAGAGGGGGAGAGAGGGAAAGGCAGGGGATAGGGGATTAGCAAGGATGATGGAATGTGATAAACATCATTAGCCAAAGTACATGTATGAAGACACGAATTGGTGTCAACATACTTTGTATACAACCAGAGATATGAAAAATTGTGCTGTATATTTGTAATAAGAATTGTAATGCATTCAGCTGTCATTTGTTTTTTAAAACAATTAATGACAAAACAGTATAAAAATGGGCAATTTCCTTAAACTCTTTGTGCCAACATGATACAAACAGACGCAGAATAACATAATTATTAAGACATGAACTGTAGAGCCAGATTCCTAAGTTTATATGCTAGTACTACCATTTAATAATTTCCTGTTTAACTATTTTGTTTTTGTTTCTAATAGGAAAAACAGGGACAACAATAATAATATATCTTAGAAGATTGGTGGAAGAATCAAATGAATTAATATGTATAATTAAATGTCTAGAAACATTCACCATAAATAATAGTTATTATTATCTTTATCGTGTATCATATTCATCCCCTGGTTCTTATCAGTCTTGTCCTGTCTTGATTTTACCTAATAAGTTAAGAAAACTAGAAATGATAGCTCCTAGGAAACATGTATTTCTGGAAATATTTTTAACAAGTCAGGCACAAATATAATTAAAGATCGATCTATTAATTTGTTTTCATCTTAAAAGCACAGAACAATTCAAGCACATAGAATCTGTAGAACACCAGGGTGAATCTAAGATTTTATGTTATATCCACCTCTGCCACTAAATACTTTGGGTTGAATAAGTTTTATTTTACCTCCTTTGACCTAAAAAGAAATGAAGCAAGACTCAATGTTTCATCTTTATTAAAGTTCCTTCCAAAATGTTTCACTTACAAACTACACAAACTTAATATGGCATACACAAAATAAGGAAGCTTCAAAGATAAAAGTTGCTCAATACCTGCTATACTTCGAGTGGAATTTTCATTTTCTTATGTATCAGTCTATTAATTTTTGTTTTGTATTCTAAATTCACAAAACAAAGTTGTTTAACCAAACCTTCAAAGAAAGAACCTTATAACTCATATTGTATCAACAACAAAATAAATTCCCAGAATACAATTAAGGAAATTACATTTGAAAACTACATTGAAACCTGAGGGAGCCCTTTGCTTCTGAGTAAGTACTTACAACAAAATTTATTTTTCCAGCTCTGTTCAAATTAAGCTATGACTGGGGTGATTATAACCTTGCTTCCTAGTAGGTGCAGATTTTCAAATGGTCTATAAAATTTATTTCAGAATCAAGGACACACCATGAGAATTCTGAATCAGATCTATAAAGAGGGTAATGGGACAGCATGGTATTGGCACCAAAACAGACTGGTAGACCAATGGTACAGAATAGAGGACACAGAGACCAACCCACCAAATTACAATTGCATTGGCAAACTCACAGGTAGGAAATATACAGTATCAACCTAGCCATATGAGAACATGGTCTGTGTCCAACTTCATGGCACTATGCAAATCACCTGCTTTGGTCATTAGTTTGAGACTACCAAAGACTAAATCCTCAATTAATGTCCAAAACAAATTCAATGATAAATTTCCACTCAGTTTAAATAAAGGGGTTTTTCCCTGTATTTTTTTTTATTTTACAACTTAATTGTCATTATGTTTTCCACGTATAGCCTCTTAATATATTTCAATCTCAATTCAACAAATACTTGCCCATTGTGTGGATGAAAAGGAAAGATATAAACTTAATTTTAAGATCCTTTCTGCTCCAAATTCCCTACCAATAATACATACAGACATAAACACAACTAAAGAATGATGCACATCAGACTTAGGTAAATATTAACTTCTAAATACCACTGTTAAAAATAAAACTTGGGAAACACGAGGTGAGAGACTGCCTCTATTTCTATCTTGACTTGAAACTATATATAATAGGCCCTTTTAAAAAATATTCTTGGTTCTATTCTAGGGACCAAAACAGAGGTTATGCCACTTTTTCTCAACACAGAAATACTAATGCAACTTACATGCTAAACACAAGGGCGCTTACAAGGGCCATTATTACATCTTTTGAGTATTGTATGGAAATAAAAAAAGTTTTTTTTCCATAGAAAAAGTGAAAAATCCTCCCTCGGATCCCTAACTCCCAGTGGCTTAGTGACACAGTTATGTGGCACTGGCTGTAAAGTTTGTTCAGTTTGCAAACACATAGGTCCTCAAAGACTGGTCTCGGGTGGAAACCAGAAGGGCATGTTTGGGCCTCTCCTTGCGGGGGAGGAGGCCATGTCCCTATCAGGGTCTTTTTTCTTTATCTTCCAAAAACCTTTCCTTATCCACCCAGGGACCAGCAGCATTTTGTAACTAGGGTCAAGGCAGGGGCTTTCCCTTCTTGAACCTCATCACAACATGACACACAACTTGAACCCTCAAGTCCTCCTGGCTGGGTCAACCGTCGAAGAGACCCCAGTCAGCAACCGCCTACCTCCTCAAAAAGCATAAGAACTGGGGCTGTGCGCAGGCGCATTTGACCTCGCTGCTCACTGCGCAGGCGCACAGGCCACCTGAGCTCCAAGAGCAGCAGGAAGTGCAAAGTTAAAGCGCCTGTCTGCGTTCTCACGATGTAAGGAGATGGGCCTACCTCTTCAACCCTTTGCCCAGACAGGGAAGGAACCCGTACTGGTCACTGAAGAGGCAGAGACAGATGTTCAATCCAGTCATCCTCTTCCCCAGCTGCGTCAGAAAATTATGGCTCCCTCTTTCCTGCACCCCTGGTCATCTCTTAGGTTCTAGACTTCAGTTTGCAAGATGCTGGTGGCAACCTGGACTGTGTCTAAAAAAAAGACTCCCAGGACCACAAGACCAAAGCGTAAGTGTCTTGTTTGGTGTGGCTGCATTTCTGAGTCAGATCTCTCTGTTGGGATAAGAGTCCAAGAAATTGGTGGGATTGCTGAGGCCTGCCTGTGAGTGACAACTGTGCAAGGCAGATAGTAAGGCAGAGCCAGTGCTGCTAGAGCAAAAGAGCCCATGAGCCACGGAGATACTCAACAAAGGAAGCAAAGTGGTGCAGCACCTCTGAGCTCTTGAGTTCCAGCTACAGGCTTCCTGCTTGGGAATTTTAGGGGTTCTTGGGCCTATGATTTTGAATAACTTACCTGCTCTATATCTACATTTCCTTCCTCAGTAAAATAGCAGTATCAATACTTACTTAATTCCCCCAAAATTCTATGAGACAATGAACAGTCCTACCTAATGCACAGTAAGTGTTCAATAAATGTTAGACCTTATTTCATAATAATAGCTGCCATTTATTATAGGCCAAGTATAATAATTTTAGACCTGAGTTCAAATAGGGTGTTATTTATTTGTTTATTTACTATATCTTCTGCTATTCAAAGGCTGGGATAGGTAAAAGGAAGAGGGAGAGAGAGCTGAGAAGAAGGTTGTTAATAAAAGTCTAAGACTATGGGACAATAAAATGTATTTCTAGTTTCTTTGAAAATTAAGTCAAATAAGAATGTTTGGAGATAAATCAGAGATAGATTGACACCAAACAATAGTAGGCCTTGAATGCCAGAGTAAAGAAAAGTACAAGAAAAGGTTTTTTTTTATTTTTTTAAAATTTTTTTCATTCTAATTTGTTATACATGACAGCAGAATGCATTACAATTCATATTACACATATAGAGCACAATTTTTCATAGTTGTGTTGTATACAAGTTATATACACACCATTTGTGTCTTTATACATGTACTTAGGGTAATAATATCCATCTTAAGGAATAAGTTTAGAAGGAAGAGGTTCATCTTTTTAATTTGGAAAGAAGAGTTCAAACAACAAAATATCTGAAAAGACTTCTTATTCATCATAGTTACAATTAGACTTACCCAAAACATGAACATAAAGGAAGCTGCTTTTGACATGTTATATACATACATCCATCCACACATGTATAAAACCTACTCCCTAAAAAAATGATTTCTCATTAAAACAACAACATTAAGCCCAGGAGTAACAATATCTGCTATGTCTATAAGGAATTCAGACATGAGCAATAAGGAATGTAGACATGAGCAATATGGAATTTTTGCTAGCAATTTTGTGTTTTTTTTTTTTTTTTTGTATTTTTTGTTTGTACCAGGGATTCAACTCAGGGACACTTGACCACTGAGCCACATCCCCAGCCCTCTTATATCTTGTTTTGAGACAGGGTTTTACAGAGTAGCTTAGGGCCTCACTAAATTTTTGAGGCTGACTTTGAGCTGGCAATTCTCCTGCCTCAGCTTCTAGAGCTGCTGAGATTATATACATCCACCACCATGCCCGGCTTTTGCTAGCAGTTTATAAACTTATCTGTTCTATAGCTGTCTCATTCTGGTTATCATTCATTTATTTCTACGTGAAAAGTTGATCAGAATGGGCCACAGAGCAAGGAAAACACTAAGACTGTGGAAACTTATTCAGGTGCTGGAAGTTATTAAACACCTACTTTAAAATACTTTAAATATTCAACTTAATAGGGAGTTAGTGAAAAGGTTTCATTTTATACCTTCAGTTCTCTAAGCTCTCAAAAAGAACTAATAAAACTGCAAAGTTTTTACAAGGATCCAAACTCAAGTGTGCTTTGGGAGACAGGGGGTTAAAAATGTTTTGGAAGTTAAGTTTGTCTAAGAGTATAGAAAGCCTCTGGTGCTCCAGTTCTAAGGAAATGCTCTCCTTTTTCTAATAAAGCTTTCCACAGAAGACAAAACTGTACACAATTAACAAGGTAAGTATAAGGAAGAATCACTACAGTTCATTAACTTTCTGTTGCATATGGACATGTAACAGAAACTTTACCAATGTGAAGTGTGCTTCAAAATGCTGATCTGTTAAAATTCCATAAAATAAGCCTTAAAATTCAAGTCATTTGTGCCAGCTAAAGGAGATAACTAAAGCAGCATTTCCAGAGAGACTAGGGCAAAGGACAGTACAAACTACAAATCGGCAAGGAAAAAAACAAAACATAGCAGTGTTAATAATTTACCATAGTTACTGTTCTTGAAACCAAAGTAGCACTACAGCTGTTATCTCTTTACATTTATGTGTGTTTAGTGTACACTCATATGTGCAGGAATCAAAGACTGTGGAGCTTTGTGTTAGAATAGTAATTTTGATTTGTAAATTTATATTGTTATTTTGCTTTATCTCTGAATTATGGTCTCTTAAAGGAAAAATTTGGGAGTTTGTTTATTAAATATCATGTTGGTTTATTAATCATCATTAAATATTAAATATTAAATAGCATTCATATTCATATTTCCATCATGTATTTTATTTGTGTGCTTGTTTGTTTCCTGAGCACACTGTAGTGGTTGTTTATGTGAATTCTGAAAGAGCAAAAGTAGAACTTCAGAGGGGACCAAAAATAACAAAGAGGCACCCTATTGCCCTGTGAAAAAACACTGGACTTAAATCAGAAACATGGGCCCCAGGCCTAGTTTTCTTTTATGTAGCTGTGGAAACTTATTCAGGTTGCTTAACCTCTCTTTGTTGTATCCCTGCAATAGGGATGTCAATACCTTCTCTGTCCTATCTTACAAAGTGGAAAAACATCATAAATTTAAGTACTCTGCAATTGTAATGAATTATGCTTGTACTCCTATAAAACAGCCTGGTATTACTAATACATAGAATTTTAATACTTGAACATATTTGACTTTCTGAGTGATTGAGCATGAAATCAAATCAGATTTGGCTCAGCGTCATTTCTCCAAAGGCATGTAATCATCTTGGTATTCTGGGTAATTTCCTCTAATAAGACCCCCTTTCACACAATGCATTCCAGTGGAGAGGATTTCTGTCAGTAAATGAGGCCATGTCTTTATAAATTCATATCATGTGTTAATATATATAGTATGTCCCAAGACATTTTCGTGCATTAAAAGGTTTTGAAAATTACTAACAGTTGTTTTTCCTTTGGTACTTTGGCAAGATTCCTAAGGAAATTGACAGAGAATAACCAATAACATCATGAGAAAGAAACTAAGGGATGTTTCAAAGTAACTTTTCAAGACCCAGTGATCACCAATTGGGTCCCTGTGTCTCTAACTGCATAAAAGCAATCCAAAAGAAGGTGCTGGCTCAAGAAGAGGCTCTGAGTATCTGCCTTTGACTGTTTCTAGATATGAGATTCAATGTCCTTAGATCATGAAAAGTGCCTGGATTCACTTCAGAAATGTTTTTTTAATGCCAGTGGAAACAAATATCGAATGAGCCACTTAATTTTTTTTTATTTTAGAGGATTAGAACTTTACAAACTATTTTTATTATTATAAATGATCATGAAAGCCCTGTTGGATGGCATTCTAGCTGAAGGGGAAACTGACTTTTTGTACTGGTAGGAGATGTCAATTTATTATTGTACTTAGATCTACTGACCATCTGAGGGAGTTAGAAGTCAACAACTGTATCTCTGGTTGATCTTTGCATATTTTAATCCAAATATGGTAAAGGACAGGGCTACAAAGGGGAGTGTTCATATAATAAACAGGGTTTACAACTTGTAACAGAAGGTGTTTAAAGTCCTCCACTCAAGGGAACTCTGTACTTTGTACTTTGGTTAAATTCTCATTTGAATTTAGATTTCTAAACTTTTCTTAGGACATTAAGCTTCTTTTGATCTCCTTTCTTCTGAATTGCAGAAATCAGATAAAACTATTGGTAAAATGACCTCTCCTCACATTACAGGAAAACCTATAAAAAAGATTGCTATCTTTGGAGGAACTCATGGGAATGAGCTAACGGGAGTATTTCTAGTTAAGCACTGGCTGGAGAATGACGCTGAGATTCAGAGAACAGGGCTGGAAGTAAAACCATTTATTACCAACCCGAGAGCAGTGAAGAAGTGTACCAGATACATCGACTGTGATCTGAATCGTGTTTGTGACCTTGAAAATCTTGGGTAAGTGTATATTTTATACAGAGTCCATACATGTATGTGTGAAATGTGGTATGTGTGTGAGAGAACTTGTATACATATGTGTGATGAATATTCATGTATATATATAGTGTCTGTAATGAGTAAGATTGCTTTAATTTCTAATCATGCTGCATTGTGAATTATACAATTATGGAAACTGGGCATTCATACTTTTTTAAAATACTATATTATTTGATTTTTCTTTTCAAATATATCCTCTGTAGATTACAAAAATATATAAGAAAGGTTTTATTTTTAAATTATATCTTGAAAGACAGATCTAATAATCCTTTGCATAAGTTAGTATTTGACCACTATGTTTATATACACACTTGTTAGCTGTGTGGGAAACTCACTACATTTATTTTCAACTATGTTATAGCACATAAATTTCTAGTTAAGAAAAATATAATGTTCTAATTAGTGTTTGTTGAATGAAAGAGTGAATAAGTATCCATTTTCAGAAAACATGAGACCACCCTGTGGTCTGAGGAATGGATGTATTTACCTTCCAGGATGGATTAAATAATGAGAACCAAAGGCACTTACCCTGAACTTTCTGAATTTCAGTTGCAGCTGATTTTTAATACATTGAATACAATATATTTAATCCTAATATTCCAGATGGGTCCTGACTAATTATTTTTGCCTTTTCAAATGTTCTGATAGTTACCCCTGTATATGCCTCTAAGTCTTTGCCTCTTCCATTTCTTTCTTTAATTTATCTAAAAATATTATTAAACAACTTTTCTCATTATGCCAAGTACTGTGGGAGTACAACACTGTATACAAGATACTTCCCCCCGCCCCAGGGAGTTGGTAGACTGCTAGCCAAGATATAAGATATGCACAGTAACAATCAGCTGTAATACGTTTTGTACCTGTTTTCTGATTTAGAGAAGTCTTTGGGTTTAGTGTCACTATGGAACAAAAGGTGAATACTACTTTTAGTACAAATATCCTTATTTATGGAAGAGATTGCAAGGCAGTTTTATTTAGTAGTCATCATTTTTGTATTGAATCATAATTTTATTGGCGTAAATATTAATTTTTGAAATGCTTTACCTTTATGATTGAGGTGATATCAACACAAACATTAATCTAAAATGGCTATTATATATATTGTATTATAAGTAGTAATTTGTTGAAGAATAACTTTTTGTTAGCATATTAACTTCACACATTAACTCTAAAATGAATTGGGGTGAGTTTTCTTATTATGGCCTCCCAGTATAGTATGCCGTTCAGTGAGAGCAGCCTTTTAAATTAAATTCACATTCTGTTTTGTATTTATAACCCTTTTCAGAGGCCAAGCATTCTTTTTTAGCACAGCTATGAAAATTTATGAAATAGATAAACCAATTATCTTTTCCTAATCCCCCCATTTTTTCTCCTATATTCCTCATCTCAGTAAGTACACTATCACCTACCATAGAAAATCCCCCATAGAAGTCCCTGTCCTTCATCCCTCATGTCTAGTGGGTAAGTCCTCCCAAATATTCTTTGCAAGACCTTCACAAATCCAGTCATTCTTTCCCTTTTCACTACCTTTATTTTTCCTAAAGACAGTTACAATAGTCTTTTAACAGACTCTCTCTACCTGGAGACTTGTGCCAATCCTTTCTGCCATCCCTTATGGTAGTCATAGGGATCATCCTAACATGAGGATCTTAGGCCTCCCCCTCTCAATTTTTTAAACATTCTCATCTTCAGAATAGATGTAAGCTAGCTAGTATAGCTGATAGTGCCCTTGGGGGTCTTGTGTCTGTCTATTCTCTTAGCCTTATCCCTTGGAACTGTTCCAGTGGTACCTGTACTCCAGACGTAGGAACTCAAAATGTCATTGTCAAGCCTAAATTTTGAGCTGCTGGGTGGGCAGTGGTGCCACTTACTCAAAGGGGGTAGGAAGATGTAAAAGAAAATATGGTTGGAGTAGCCTCATGGGCTTGTTTTATGAATTAACTTTTAAAACACACGTGTGTGTGGGTACACATGTGTATAATATGTATATCTATAACACGGGTATAAATATGTATTTGTATAATACAGGCACATCTATCCTTTAGGAATTGTGTTTGGTTTTGTATAATAGACTCAAACATACTGGCTTAAGCAAATAAGAGTTTCTTATTCACAAATAATAAGTCTAGGGCTGGTGGGGTGGCTTCATGATATCATCAGGGCCACAGGTTGCTTCTTTCTTCCCCCTGTTCTCATCTTCACATGTACCTTTTTGTACTCATGTTTTTTGCTTCATAACTGCAAAATGGCTAATCCACTTTCTTGATTGCATTCCAGACAGAAAACACTCAGGTACAAACTGTAGGTCCTTTAAAGATACTAGTAAAAATAGCCAGGGAATAGAAAGAGATGGAATTACATGAAAATGTGGTTGAGTGATTTAATGAGAAAAAATAAATTTAAACCATTATCATGTACAGCAAGCAAAAATGTATCCTAACCATTTCAGAAAGTGAGGAGGGGTTAGATTGAGACTCTGTCTAAGAATATAATAACAGATATTAACACTTGCCCCACAAACACACACACACACACGTACCTGTAAATTTTTGTATTTTTGGAGTGTCTTCAGACTCTGATCAGTAAACCTTGTCCCTGGACTACTGATGACTGTTGGGCCTCAATTAAAAATACCTAATGATGATGTGAGCATCTAAGTTTGACTGTTTTGAGAACTTGAATTACCTAGGGTGAAGACTGGGAGGAAGATGCATTTAATGATCTATGCCCATAATAAATAACAAGTGCACCATAACTACAAAAAAACTATAAATAAGGTTAATGGAAAATTTTTGTTCAAGGTTGAAGTCAAATGGTAAATTCTGTTTGAAAAGTCCTACCTGTGACTAGCAACATAAATGAATGTATTATTTTTAAGAATATCAGTGCAATATTAGTTATATGGAATCAAATGGAGCAAAAATATTTTTCATTTATAACAATTTTAGATATTTTCACTACCCTCACAGATTTTGCATATTAAAGGTTTGGCAACTGGTTCTTTATATATTGTGTTTTTATTGACTATTTATATTATCTTAGCCACAAATGTTGTTAATGTTTTTCTTTCTGCTAATAATAGCAAAGAGATGTCAGAGGACTTGCCATATGAAGTGAAAAGGGCTCAAGAAATAAATCATTTATTTGGTCCAAAAAATAGTGAAGATTCCTATGACATCATTTTTGACCTTCACAACACAACTTCTAACATGGGGTGCACCCTTATTCTTGAAGATTCCAGGAATGACTTTTTAATTCAGATGTATCATTATATTAAGGTAATGTCAATGTTATTAATTTATAAGTTTACATAAGTCAATTATAGATGAGAAACAACCAGAACAGGGTCAGGAAGAAAGGTCCAAGAGAAATGGGATCTATTCCACAGCTGGGCTGGGAGACTGGATGGGAGAGGCTATACTCAGATACAGAGGTGGTGGTGACAGGCAGGAGAAAAGGAGAAACCAGTAAAATAACAAATATAAGGAACAAAATGATAAGATCCTTGTGGATTCTTGAAATTATAAATTTTATTCCAAAAGTCACAAATTCATAAGCTATTGAACGAAAAAAAAACAAGAAAAATGAATATCAGAATTTTAAATGGCGTGGTTGAAATATCAAAATTACAGGGTTTTAGGAAGCTCAAAAAATCGTCATTTCCAGCAGTGAAAACGTTGTGTCCCTTTAGTCCTGCCTTGTCACCATTTGATTGGGATTGCCTAAAACACACCCAATCTTTTTTTGTGTGTGTATGGGGGGGATTACCAAGGATTGAACTCAGGAGCACTCCACCACTGAACCACAGCCCCAGCTCTATTTTGTATTTTATTTAGAGACAGGGTCTCACTGAGTGGCTTAGTGCCTAGCTTTTGCTGAGGCTGGCTTTTGAACTCGCCATTCTCCTGCCTCAGCCTCCCAAGCCAATGGGATTACACACCCAATCTTTTGTCACGTACTTCATATAGATAATCATTTTAAGACTCAGGAATCTGTAAGATTAAAAATTCAGCATTTTACTGCCTTTAACTAAAAAAAATGGTAGAAAACATCAAACAAGCAAAAATGCAAATAATGGATTTTGTTTTTGATTTTATATAATAGATATAGAGAGTTAAAATGTTTTAGTGGGAAAAGTTCAACCCCTGTAGCCAGAAGTTGGATTTAAATCTTGGCTTTCTCCTTCACTAACCTTGAACAAGAAGTTCAAATCTCAAAATAGCTTTTTTTATTTTATAAAATTAGTATAACAATACTCACTCCATATGGCTGCTAAAAGCTTTAAATGAGAAAAAGTATTCAAAGCATTTAGACTAATGTCTACCCTGTGGTAACTATTACTTTTGTTTCCCTTGACCTCTGGACAGTAAATATTAGTGGTTCTGGCTGGAGATCCTTATGTAGCTGAATTCTTTGATTGCCACTCACAGAAGACACAAGTTATACCCAGTTATCCAAACCAAGAGACCTGTATCAAATTTTCATTCAAATAAGCAGAAGGAAGAGGAATCACATGACATTCATAGAACCTGAATTACAGGGGCAGAAACAGAGCTCTTTAAGAGACTAAATAAGCTGAATAGTAAGGGTAACCAATGATGAAACAAAAATAACCAAATCCATTCAGAAGGAAAATTTATTTCCTATTCTTTGGTCATGCCTCTGAAGAATTGCTTAATGTACATTTTACCTAGAAGGCTGCATGTAATTCAATTTCATATGTAATTTATTTGTATGTTTTCAAAGCTATTACATTGAATTTTAGAGTGTTCCATAAAGTTGTCTGACTATTCTTGGTTGATGAAGCAAAGAATATGAAAGCATTACTGACTCCATAGCATCAAAGAGAACAAAACATATGGTCCTTACATAATAAGAAAGATGTTTTAAAAATTCTTTTCAGACTTCTTTGGCTCCATTACCCTGCTATGTTTATCTCATTGAGCATCCTTCCCTGAAATACACAACCATTTCTTCTGTAGCCAAGTATCCTGTTGGTAAGTCTGTTGGCATAGCTGAATAAAATATGTCCCTATCTGAAACTTTAAGAAAAATTAAAGAATATTTATAGCTACCTTGCACATAATTAAGTCTTATAATTATCAGAGAATAAGCAAATTAACCCCAGGCAGAAACTATACTTAATTTTCTCAATATCCCTGAGTAGCTTTCTGGTTCTATTTATATTTTTACCTAGGTTTGGTCCTTCATATGAGTCTGACAGATTCTTCTCATTCCCAAGACTTAAGTGAAATGTCACCTTCTATAGAACCTTCTGTCTAGCTTCACTCTACAGAATTAATCACTCTAAAATTTATACTTTCAAAAGACATTTATTGGACTGTGCTAGGTTCTGGGAAAATAGTGATGATATAGGCACATAGAATCCCTCAAAGAGCTTAGTATCTAATGAGAAGGGAACATTAACCAGGTCATTACTGCATAGAGGGATACATGGCCATAGTAGGAGTAATTTATTCTCTTTCCTATGAGACCCACTAGCATAATTAAGTGTTTGCAAACTATGCTATAATTAAAATATCTATTACAACTTAAGATCTTTTTTGTTAGATCTCATAGGCTTTAACCAAGAGTAAATTTAAGACCAAGTTAGCAAATAATATAAGCAAATGAAATTATCCTGTTTGATACTTTTGGTTCATGATTAAGGAGAGAAATTAATTATTAATTATAATTGGAGAAAACTAAATATTCAAATATAGGCACAAAGTTGTAATAAATGTAATAAACCAAAACCTTACTATATGAGATAGGGTTGGGTACAGAGCTCAGTGGTACAGTGTTTGCCTACCATGTATAAGATCCAGGGTTTCATCCCTGGCACTATAAAGTAATAATAATAATAGAGGGGCTGGGGTTGTGGCTCAGTAGTAGAACACTTGCCTAGCACTTGGGAGGCACTGGGTTTGATCCTCAGCACCACGTAAAAATAAATAAACAAAATAAAGGTATTGTGTCCATCTACAACTAAAAAAAATTAAAAAAATAGAGATCATGGTTCTCTTTGATACCAAATAAAAGTGTAAGACTTCCAAACTTTGAGAGACTGCCTTAGAATATGATATTTTTGGGCAATGCTGTTTTAACAGGAACAAATATCTGCTGATAAGTTTCGCCCTTACAAATAGAACCAAAGCTTTAAAACATTTCAGTATGAGGGAGTATTATTAAAAATATTAGCATGTTCTCCTTCCAACTTTACTCTTTTATATTTGAAATATATTATGTCATACACACATTGGAAAAAGCACTTAAGATCTCAGGCATTCTTTTTGAGTCAACATTTTATAATAAAAATATTGCTTATATAAACTTCTATAAGTTATGTACAAGGACCACTTTTGCATTCCACTGCCAAGGTGACTGAACTATAACATGATCAGGATAATTGGACTATTATGAATGCCTTAAACTATTTTATATTTATTCTAAAGCTGAAGAAAAGTTCATTCACATTAAAAACTGGATATTCAACCAAAATTATGATTGTATTAGAAGAGAGAAAAATGGAATACATTTGGGGTAGGCAAACAACAATGTCTTCTACAAAATGCACACAGACATATCTATGAACACAATTTTCATTGATATGTACACATCATTTATGCACAGAGGCATGCCTTGGCCACACTTATGATATCATATACTTAAATGAGTGCTTGTACATATACACAAGAAAATTACACAGTATACCATAATGAGCTTTTTGAATTGGAAAGTAATAGAAATGGGTGAAAATAGAATGGGTTAAAAGAATATATTTGAATTGGATGGAAGAGAATGAATGTGGGTGATATACTTAGTAAACAGTTTGATAAATGGAGAAAATAATGACTGGAGGGATGACTCTGTGGGAGGCTTGAGCAGGTGGAGGAGTATTTTGCAGGTGTAAGGATGGATGCTTGATAGCTACAGGAAACAGACCTGGAAGTACAAGCATAGTTAGAGGAAATACAAATTTTTCTACAGAAAATAAGAACCATTGCACTATCTTGTCAGAATGGGTTAATATTAAGTATAAAAATGTCCTGAAGTCACATAGATTGCATGTTAACTTAAATTCATAGTTTATCTAGCTAGATTTCTATGACCAACTAGATGTCTTTCCTCCCGTGAAAGCTAAACATTAGGTCTGTGACAGTTTCTCTTTGTGGCCACCTATTATTTTGTCATATGCAGGTTTTTCTACCTCTTTTCTATGTTATGATATTTAAATATTTGAATCATATTGAAATAAATTTAAGAAAAATTAACCCTAAGTTCTAACTACTCAAACACAAGTCTGTGAATTTTTTTCATATTCTCTTCTAGCCTTTATTCACTTTACATTTATCACTATGCATATTTAAACATGTAAATATTCTGCTTTATTTTGTGCCTAACATTCTGTCTCAAATATTTTCGATGATGCTACTGGTCTAACTTTTAAATAATTTTTAATAATGGGGTTCTAGATATAATAAAACACTTAATTTTACAATACATTCTAATATTACTATTTTCCTTTCTGTACCTAGGTATAGAAGTTGGTCCCCAACCCCAGGGTGTTCTGCGAGCTGATATTTTGGATCAAATGAGAAAAATGATTAAACATGCTCTTGATTTTATATATCAGTTCAATGAAGGTAAATAGTGGGTAAGGGTTGTTTTGTTTAATTGTGGGTATTTTTTTAATTGTGGGTATTTATATTTAGCTGTGTGTTAGTTAGGTTTAATTATTATGACCAAAATATCTGACAATAACAACTTAGAGAAGGAAAATTTTATTTTGGACACATTCTTAAAGTTTTAGTCCATGGTTGGTTGGAGCAACTGCTCTGAGCCAAGGTGAGGCAGACATCACAGCAGAAGGGCATGGTGGAGGGAAGCTGCTCAGAACATGGCAGCTGGGAAGCAGAGAGAAGGAAAGGGCCTCAAAGAAGATGAACCCTTCCAGGGCACACTTCCAGTGACCCAGTTCTTCCAGCTACTCTCCACCGGTCTACAGTTAACACCTAGTCGGCCTGTTCAAACCAGGTTGAACTGACTAGATTGCAACTCTAACAATCAAATCATTTCACTTTGAAATATTCCTGCATTAACACAGGAGCTTTTGGGGGATACCTCATATCCAAGCCACAACAATACTATACATATATTATATAGTACATATCTATCTATCTATCTATCTATCTATATATATATATAGTGTGTGTGTACACACACACACACACACATACACACACACACACACACACCAGTGTACATTACTTAATTGTGTGTGTATGTGTTTAAAACTTAACCACTAAACATTGAAGTAGTAATTGAAATTTAGGTTGAATTTTTTGTGCTCAGAATGTTAGGTGTTTTTTCAAATTTTTATTCACTTCAGCTAATCCTCAATAACCAGAATAGATACATACAAGAAAAACAGTTGCTAAATAAACAACCAAATGAAATCTTATTTTCCTATTAAACTCCATTTTAAAAACCAAAGACAGAATAGGAAATATAAATGTTCTATTAAAGTAGAAAAGACTTTCAACATCATGAGTAATCAGAGAAATGCAAATCAGAGTGAGAAACCACTTTTCCCATTAGATTTGAGAAAATAGAATATGATGATATTAAGTGTTGGTATAGGAAAAGGAGATATACTCTCATTCCCTGCTGACAAATATTTGAATTGGTTAAGACACTTTAAAGGGTAATTTTATAATTATCTGCTATATCTACTTATTAAATTGTGCAAATCTTATGTCCAGCTGTTCCACATTTCAAAGAAACACAAGCTCATGAATCCCAGTAGTTTGTACTTAAGGGTGATTATTATAAGCTTTGTTTGCAATGGACATGACTCAAATGTATATCAGTTGGTGTACAAATAATAATAACATGGAAGAATCTTCAAAACACATTATTGATTAAAAGAAAGAAAATTTAGACCAGAATATGATATACAAATTTACTTTAATAATGATCACTTGCTAGAATGCATATAAGTAAGGGAAACTGTATGGAAATGGAAGGAGACCCTCATTGTTACACAAAATTACATATAAGAGTTTGTGAGGGGAAAAGGAAAAAAAAAAAACAAGGGAGAGAATTAAACAGCAGCAGATGGGGTAGAGAGGGAAGATGAGAGGGAAGGAGAGGGGGGATAGTAGGGGATAGGAAAGGTAGCAGAATACAACAGTCATTAATATGGTATTATGTAAAAATGTGGATGTGTAACCGATGTGATTCTGCAACTTGTATTTGGGGTAAAAAATGGGAGTTCATAACCCACTTGAATCAAATGTATGGAAGATGATATGTCATGAGCTTTGTAATGTTTTGAACAACCAATAAAATAAAAGAAAAAAAATTGTTGACAAAACATAACTATGGTGACATATTTACTGTGTAGTTCAGTGTCTGTGGGGAACATAATTCCTTAGCCTCAGATTGTGTAGCCCCCTGTGATCACAGGAACTTCTTCTGTGTTTGGCAATCCTTTGACTCAAAAATCATAAAAACCGAAAATGAGCTGTTCACCAACTTTGTATGAGGACAGGTTTTTTACTGTCCAATGGAAGTAGTATTGGGAAGGTCACAACATATTTAACAAGAAATTTTCAAATAGTAAGCATGGAACTCTAATATGTTAAGAAATTATATCCCCAGGGAGAATGCCACAAACCTGAGTGGAAAACAGTTTACAAATCATAGTCCATAGATCCCTACCACAAGGCTGGGGAACATTAACTCAAGGACAGTCTGCTCTCATTATTTTTGCATGCATCAGTCACCCTCATCTTGAATCTGGGCTACCCAGGTGGCTTGTTTTTGTGTTACAAAAGAGGCTTGAAAAAGATTTATGCATTTGGACATGCCCTCTAGTGGCTTTTGGGAACCCTGTGTGGCTATTGTGTGACACAGTCCGCACTAATCTGATTAAAAGTCATAGAATGGAAGACTCAGACACCCCAGCCACCAGTCATGCAGTTTGAGCCTTCAGCTCCTGACTTTCAGTCCTAAGCTCTTTTCTCCCACACTGGATTTTGTATGTTCGGTTTTTTACATCAGTTCATCATGCACTGATAGGAATAATTGCAGAACTTTTTGGCTTTATATTGTTATGAACATCTTTAACTAAACTTAGTGTGTTCTCCTTGTAACTGTCTTCATTTTGTTGTTGGTATTCTTCTTCCTCCCTTTCTTCCTTAAAGTATCAACTTCCCTCTTTTATAAGAAGATTTTTTTAGTTGCTATAATACATATTATTATTGTTGTAGGAAAAGAATTTCCTCCCTGTGCTATTGAGGTCTATAAAGTAGTGGAGAAGGTTGATTATCCCAGGAATGAAAGTGGAGAAATAACTGCTGTTATCCATCCTAATCTGCAGGTAACTAATCTGCTGTTTCTTTAAAATATTGAAAATATTTTGATAATGTTTTACCTTTGAGTAGAAGTTCACAGTCCATACAGAGTTTTACATGCATTAGTTAATTTGATGGTCACAAAACCACTGCAGTGTAGAGAAGTGTATTAGCTTTCCATCACTAAAATGAAATGCCTGTGGCAATTAATTTATACATGGAAAGGTTTTATTTAGTCTCAGTCGAAGATTGATTGGGTAACTGTGTTGCTTTGGGCTTCTGGTCTGGGTACTGAATGGTAATAGTGGGAAGTGTGTGTTAGAGCAAACTGCTCACATCTGGGGTCAGGCAGCAGAGAGCAGCTCAGAGGCTGGGTCCTACAGTCTCCTTCAAGAGCACACCCTTAATGACCTAAGGGCCTCCCACAAGGCCCCACCTCCTAAAGGTCTAGCACATCCCAGGAGTGCCATCCTAGGAACTAAGCCTTTAACACCTCAACTATTGGGATACACTACCTATATTCAACCTATAGAAGGAAGCTATTCAGACCTTTACTGGATAAATACTAGTTGAGTATAACCTGTACTGACTCAGGGGAAACATTAGTGAACACAGTCTATAGTCTCATGGAATTTATAGTCTAGATATAAAAACATCTAAACTATGGTCTAGAAATGATGATAACCAGATTCTGTAACAGAATAAAGAGGTGGGAGAAGGGTGGTCAGACAAGGCTTCTTACAAAAGTGAAATTCCTCTCCAAGTGCAATGGTTAGGAACTGTTATATCTTTTGTAATAAAAGAAAATGGAGACAGAAATTGGAGCCATCCCATAGCCACAATTATTAATGAAAACCACAGAACTAATGTCCTTGCAGATGACCACATTACTTCTACCTCCTGGTGGTCACAACCAACTAAGTTAGAGCAAGACAGAACCTGTTTCTCTGGGGCACTGCTGCCACCATTCCCTGACTCTCCTCAGAACTGAGGTATCTGTCCACACCCCCTGCCTGGACTGATCCATGATGGCAGAGTGAGGGAGGAAGAAGGGGGAGGCTCAGGAGGTTTAGTATGGAAAAGACAAAGAGAAAGATAGGGCAGAGCAACAATTCCAAAAAGTTAAGATGCCCATTCCCCACATGGTGTGTCCCACACATTCTCAGACCTGAGATGAGAGGTTACCTAGTGTGGGGCTTTCAGCCCTGACTGCAGGCTTCCTAGAGAATTTTTTAAAAATGAAAATGCCAGCACTCTACTCTGAGATAAACTGATCTTACTGACTTGGGTGATTATGGCTAAAAACCACTGATCCAACTCAGATCCCCATTGAATGACCCTAATAGTCATCTGGACTTGCAACTTTATAAATCATCCTGCCCCAAATACACACCAGTGGGGAAAACCCTGCTTTGTGGTTTAATGGGATCCCAGTAGAAACCAGAGCTAGGTACCTTCAGCAGTGTTTTAAAGGAGAGGTAAAGACTCAGGGAGAGAAAGAAATAAAACCTTGTAGGTGACTAAAACACTCAGCACAGGAGACACAGGCCAAAATGATGATGGCACAACATTTAATATTCTTGAGGAGAAAAAAAGCAATTCTGGGGGACTGAGAAATGATATTGAGATCAGCAGCTAACAGCATTAGAGGTAGGTCTCAGAAGTTTAGAAAAATAGTTTAGATTTGTATTTGATAGAAATAAGGAATGACTTGGTGTTTTACAAGGAGGGATCCATTGGTTTGTTATCTCAGTAAATATTTTTGAATGACTACTAAACCTGTTCTGGGCCCTGAGATTCAAGATAGGCAAAGTCTTCTTGGAAATTCCATATTAATTGAATAAGCAATACATAAAACAGATCATTTCAAACTGCAATAAGTATTATGAAAGAAATGAACAATGTAGCAGAGGACAACAAAGGGTTCCAATTAAATGGAGTAGTCTCTGAAATAGTGACACTGTCGGGGCTTTTAGTGCCCTGTCTCCTCCTGACCAGTGGGAGAAGCAGGGAAAGAATGCCTCGACCAAGATGAGCCACGAGAGGTAAAGGTCGACTGGCCGTCCACTCCCAGCCCTCCCTCGCAGGAGGACAATCAGACGTGCCAGGGAGAACAGTCAAAGCAGGATCTCGTTTAATGAGGAAGTACACACAGCTTATATACTGCCCAGGAGCCAATCAGAATAAAGGTCAGAGAGGTGGAGCAAGTTCATGTGTACACCCATCCCATAGTCTGTAAGGGAAGGCATGAGCTGTCCACAAGGGCAGAAGAGTCCCGGACCTATTCTGGAGGTGGTCTGCCTCCTCCGTCACCGCCCACAGCACCGCCTCCTGGCTGATCGCCAGGAGCCGTCCCAGCCACACGTGCGGCCCCAAGACTGGGAAGCAGGCAGCCATGTCCTACAGTGACACTGAAACAGGAACCTGGAAGATGAGAAGCCAGACATATGGAAAATAAGTGCAAAGGCCTTGTGGCTGGAAAAGACTTGGAGGGTTTGATGAATAGCAGGAAGAGCACTGTCAGTGGAATATAAGCTAAGCAGAGAGGATGCTGGCCCTGGAGCCAGAGACACTGGCAGGGACCAGCTACCTGTCTAGAGTCTAAGAGTGATAGTCTTATCAGAATTACCTAGGGGATTTTATCCCCAAATGCATGGAACCCACCACAAACTACTAAAGCTTCTCAAACTCAGGCCATGTAAGAACCAGCTGAGGAGCCTTTCAAAAGTCCAGGTTCCTGGGTCCCAACCCCAGAGGTTCTGATTTAACTTACAAGGTGGACACAGGGAATCAAATGACTTCACCAGGTGATTCCATAGGACTCAGGTCTGGGGAGCACTGCACTACACGGGAACCTCTGCAGATGTGATCGACCAATGGGCGTGGAAGTTCCTTCAGTGATTCTGGGCATATCTCTGCCTGAAAAGCACTTGTTCAGAGGAGCATTCTCAACCAGGCCACCCTGTAAAATCACCGGGGACTTACAGAAAGGAAGGAAGGAAGGAAAAGAAAGGAAGGGAGGGAAAGAAAAGAGAAGAGTGAACTATAAAAATGAGGGACTGGAGGAGATGGGTGATAACATAGATGTTTTTATTACAAAGCTATAGGTTATATGACTATGCTATGTATATATCAAAATTTACAACTGCACATAAAATTAATGAATTTTACTGTATGTAGATTTTTAAAATAAAATTTTAATAAAAATGTATTTATTAAAAATAAAGCCACGCTTTAGATTAGGATTTGATGTATCTGAGATGGGGCCAGCCCTGATCCCATGTAAATATATATTAATATCCCAAGTGATTCTAATGTATGGCTAAAGTTGAGAACATCACTGAGATGCAGTGCCATGTGTACTTCAGTATTCTACATGTAAATCTCTGACAATTTGTTAACATGAAGATTTTGATTTAGTAAGTCTGCAGAGAGGAACAAAATTTTGCTTTTCTAACAAACTCCTGGGTAATGCCAATGCTTCTAGAAAATATTAGAAATGCAGAATCTCAAGGCACCACCCTGATCATTAGCATCAAAATCTGCATTTTAGCAAAATCCTCAGGTGATTTGTAAGCACATCCAAGTTGGAGAAGAACTGTTCTAGACTTCCTGTGATCAGACAACATTGGAACATCCTTCAATCAAAAGGCCAAATCCCTGGGCAGGACCTGTCAGATAACACAGTTGATAACATAATGTGGGGACACACCTGGAGTACATCCACCTCGACTTAGACTTTTCCCAAAACCACTCACCAATCCTCATCAGAATAAAGTCTCCCTGTGTGCAAATACATTTGACTCATTTTATGTCCCCAACAGTAGAATGTCTTGAGCAAAGAAGGCTCTGAATGAATATTTCCTAAATTTTGCTGAACAGAATTTAACTTCAGATGGCATAAAGTAGAATATGCACTTAGATGGATTTGAAATTTATTTTTCCTCTTAATATTATAAACCTCTTTGTTCACATTCAAGGCAAACTTGGTGTCAGAGAAACTCTAATTACACATGTCAATTGTAAGAATTAACAGGGAAACTCTTAAAACTGCTGCCCAACACAGTTACATGGTTCCAGTGGAGTCAGGTCTCATGCATGCCTCTCAGGACACCCTTCAAGGATCACTTTTTAAAGAACAGAATGGTATTTATTAACCATCTAGAATCTGACATGAAAATTTTGTAATTTATTATTTTAACTGTCTTCCGAAAGGATCAAGACTGGAAACCATTGCACCCTGGGGACCCCATGTTTGTGACTCTTGACGGAAAGACTATCCTGTTGGGCGGAGACTGTACTGTGTACCCTGTGTTTGTGAACGAGGCTGCTTATTATGAAAAGAAAGAAGCTTTCGCAAAGACAACAAAACTCACTCTCAATGCAAAAAGTATTCGCTCTTCTTTCCACTAGAAATCAGTGCTAGCTTACTTTTTGTGGGGCATTTTGAAAACAGACCAGTCTGTACGCTCCTCAAGAACAGAGTTGTGCCTTATTCAAGTTCACATTCATAGCACCTGACCCAGTCCCCAAGCAGTTGGCACACACCAGTGTCTTAAAGAAAAGAATAAATTAATGAATGTCTTTTAAAATTATCATATTTTATGTAGATAGCTTCTTCAAAGAAGTGTGCTTCCTATTTCTGCATAGATTTTTATACATTTACACTTTGATAATTTAATATTCTTAGAAACAGCTTTCACTTTCAATGTATAAAAGATATAGCTACTATGTGCAAAGTTATTAACTTGAACATGGCATGAAATGTATGTTTTCAAGTAATGTTTAAGTGCCTCTAGAAACTAATGGTGCACACTATTTTCAAATTTTTCATGATTGAGTTAATGATACTATATTAAGTATTCAGTCCATAAATTAGCAATAGTTGTGATATTCATAATAGATTTTAGCTGCTCTTCTTCAGTGACATGTTGAAGAGAAATGAGGGCTGATTATAAAGGTGACAAATACATCCAGAAACACTGATGTCTTATACTGGCCTTGAGAAGCTACCTGTCCTTCTCAGCATGGACAGTTAGGAAGAGGCAAATTCCTCTCATCTGCTACTCTTTTTGAATGAACACTCACTCTTATTCCTAGCCAAAGTGTGAGGAGATCTTTGGAATCAAGTGGCTGTCAGCTTAGATGGTTAAGACCCATAACAGAGAAGAGCGGACACCAATAGAAATGTGACCCTAACCCATGTCTCTGGTTTGCAAACACATCCTTTCAAGAAATTCTCCCCCCCCCTTTTTTTTAAAAGCTGAAATCCCTCACCTCTTGTCCTCAAAGGACCTCTGGCAAAACACTGTTCTCAAGACCCTCCTCCTCCCCTCTTTTAGGTCATAGCAGCCAAGGAAGGAACAACTTTATCCTATGATTTGAACCCCCCAAAAACATGTTTATGGCTTCAAATGTTTTACCAAAAATATTATATGGGACTTACATAGATACATAAATGTTTTCATTCTTCCAAGGCCAACTCCACTAAGCCAATTTCACTCCATATTCATTGTTTTATAGAGCACAATTAAATGATTTCTAAATCATTGTGTACTTTGCCAAAATTATTTTCATTGGAATAAACTTCCCTTTGAATGTTGTAGTAAAAAATGTGTCAATCTTCTTTAGCACATAAGTTTTACCCAGTGTCCTTCCTTATGAATGTTCTGTTTTTTTTTTTTTAATCTTGAGTCCAAATCCTCAGGTTCAGTTTTTTTTTCAGATGCAGATTTTGGCAAGGAAACTATCCTTCCATCCAGTTTTAGTAATCTATAAAATTTATAGTATGTCATTTAGATCACTGTAGTTTCAGTTTGGGGATTCATAATTTCTATTGAGCCTAATATTTCCTGACTCAATTGTTATAGTCGTCAATGTTTTTAATTAGATGTGATTTTTTTTCTTAATCTACAACTCATGGCTGGGTAGTTAGTCATTTTCAGTTTTATTTTTATTATTTCTAACTATCTGCCATCTCATTTTCTCATGTATAAACTGGGGGTGATCATAATAAAATGCTTGTGCTCTGGGGGTTGCTGTGAGGATTAAGCAAGTTAATGCATATGAGCACTTAGCTCAATGCCTAGCACTCAGTTCAAACCTAGCACAAAAGAGCTCCTACCCTCCCCCACAAGCTCTCTAGATTCATCTCCATTCCCATTCTCTCTGTTCCAAGGCACTTTGTGTTGTTTTATAACACCTTCACCCACACTGATTCTTCCCCCTAAAATTTACTTCCCACCTTCCTGTATCTTTGCCCTCCTTCCCGACCACACACCCACCCCAGGCTTTACTCTAGCTAATTACTGTGGTTCCTTCAAAATGCAACACAACTCTTATTTTAGGTATGAAGCCTTCTTTCTCTGTATCTGACTTAGTTGTCCCTGTGCCCTTCCTTCCATCTATGCTATCTCAAGGACATTAACAGTGTCTTTTTCAGGGTCTGCAATCTATTAAGTGCCTAATAAAGGTTAGTTGAATAAATGAGTGAGCCCAAATACCCTTCTCTACCTAAACATCTCCACATTCCACCAATCTCCCTGCCTTCTTTTTTCCTTCTTTCTCAGTCACTTCCTGGGTCTTCTCACCACCTCTCTTGAGTGAAACTCACTCAGTTCTACACTCTTCAAACTGTTACTATATCTCAAAGGACAGCACAAGAAAAATAATAGTAATAAAACACTCTTATAAGTCTACAACCCCATAGGATTAAACAGGGAAATGTTCTCACTCAGTAATTCCCTTGTGAGAAACATTTTGGTGGCTTCTCCTTACCCTTAAAATGAAGTGTCAAAGCCTCACCTTGATGGGACAAGCCCTACATGCTCTGGGCATGGCCACCCCTCCAGCATCATCTCATATCACTTGGCTCCTTGCTCCAGCAGTTGGGCCACACAGGCTTGATTCTCCAGACCTCAGATGCATCAAGCTCCTTACTACCCGGGGGTCTTTGCCCATGTGTTTTCACTTCTTGAAAGTCTGTCCCACCCTCTCATCCCTTGACCCAGATGACACTTGTCCTCAGTGTGATTCAGCCTAGGTTAGGCCCCTCTGTTATAAAAACACACTAACTTTTATATCAGACTAGAACATACCACAACTGTAAAAGTCCTAATTTATGAAACTGGGGTAGAGGGCAGTTAATTATTTGTTTACTTAAACTGCAAAAGCTCTAAGGGAGCAGGGAGAGTGTCTTGTTCTTTGAAGTATCTTTGAATACATTGCTTACCACCTGAAATCTATCAGTCTTGTTGGATACATGAGATTGATCTGATGAGTGAAACTATCCCAGAGGGCTTCCTCCGAAGAGCAGATTGATTCAGAGACCATAGAAGATGACCCTGGATACCACTAGATGCCTGGGGCAGGTATGGTGAACCACATACAGTTACTGCTCTAATAGGAAGAGCAAGTGGGAAGGGGCAGTGGGGAAACTCTGAAGACCGAGGTGACCAAGGCCATGGTGCTGGGAGAAGAGCCTACAAGCCCTGGGGGCACCAGGGCAACTGGACCAGGGCACATCTGCAAGGCCTGCATTTGCAGACCCCATCTAGGCACAGTCTGAAGGGAATTGACTGCTTAGGGACTCCCCAACCTTTTAATACCCCTGTATTTCCACATATATTGCCTTCAAAAGAGACTTATAACTTACTCATAGAGACCTTCTTTATAACCCCCACCCCAACACAGACACACAAAGTCCAGCACTGGGCAGATAGTAGTTCCTTTACACATCAGATCAGTGACTCGGAGGCTCTCTATGGAGTATTTCACCCAGGGCTGCCACATAAGGCTTCCTGGGTCACACAGTACACAACTCCAGGGAAGCAGGGCTGTAATCCCCTAAACTGCAAAGTGAATGGCACAGCCCAGGATTTTACACCCCATCAAACTGAAAAACAGGATTGGTATTTCCTCTTTTAGCTGAGAAAAAGAACAGGGACTTGATTAGTAATGTAACCTCCCCCTCAAAAAAAAACAAACAAACAAAAAAAAAAACAAAACTGGGATCTATAGGGGATTGCTATGATTAACATATAATTAATATAAAGTAAAATTTAGAAAGAAAAATATTAGAGCCACCTTAGTTACATATTATAAAACATTTTACGATATTTAATGTGTCACCTGTGCCTGGCATAGTGGCCTTTTCTTGGCCCCTCAAGAAGACTTGCCACAGTGAAGGAAGATATTCTGGGAATCACCTAAATCAAGTAAGTAATTCACTAAATGCCATATTTCACTTAATTTTAAATTGGTCTCATGTCTCACACCCATGAAGATAAGGCAGTGTGGGGAGAATCAAGTTGAGAATAATCATTTTTATAAAATACTAAAAAGAATGAAAAATGCTCATACACATGAGTTGGGCTGATGGGCAATAAATATAGTAACAGTATCAGCTCTTTCATACTCATTTTCTCATATCCTCCTCATGAAAATTCTGTTAGATAGGAAGGAGATATATATATATATATATATATATACACACACACACACACACACACACACACACTGGGAATTGAACCCAAGGGCACTCAACTACTGAACCACATCCTCAGCCATTTTTTTTGTATTTTATTTAGAGACATGGTCTCATTGAGTTGCTTAGGGCCTCACTAACTTGCTAACTTGTTTTGAACTTGCGATCCTCCTGTCTCTGCCACTCGAATTATGGTGGGTGTGCACCATCATCCCTGCTGTATTTTTTTTTTTTAAATCCCTGTCAATCACAACCAGGCCACGATTGGCCCTGACTTGCATGTAATGATGTCTTCTACAATGCTGGAGTTTAGATGTATGGACAAATCCTATATAATTCCATTTACATAAAGTATTCAGACTAATCAAATTTACAGAGATGGAAAATAGAAAGATGGTGGCCAAGGTGTTGGGGGAAAAGAAAATTATTGTTTACTAGGTACAGAGTTTCAGTTTTGCAAGATTGATTGTACAACCAGCTGAATGTACTTCACAACTTTGAGCTGTACCCTTAAAAATGGTTGATTGTAACTTTTATGTGTACTTTATAATTATATTCTTAAGGTACAATAAATACCACAATATAAGACAATACACTCATAAATAGTGCATATACTTTGCCAACATCAGGTTGAAAACACTCTCTTGCTTATAACATCTGACATTTTTACATAATTATAAAATGTCTAAACAAAATTAAGACTCAGCAAGTGTGTTTTTCTGGCAGGGTGGAGGAAAAAAAAGTCTGATTGATCAACTGCATTTGGGAATGAAATGAGGAAGAATGTCTCCATCTTTCTCTATGCTAACAAAACAATTATGAAGCAGAAGAAGGAGTCTGGGGTTGTGGCTCAGTAGTAGAGTGCTTGCTAGCGTGTGTGAGGCACTGGGTTCAATTCTCAGTACCACATAAATAAATAAAATAAAGGTCCATCAACAACATAAAACAAAAAAAATTTTAAAAAGAAGCACAAGAACAGGACAAAGCACTGAAAATAGTTGTATAAATACATTCTTCTCTGGAATCATGCTTCTTCAAAGGTGACAGATGTGTATGCAACTTGCATGTGGAGCAGTATTGCACCTGGCCCATCCATTTTACTGCAGT